CAAGTTTCTTGTAAATTCGATTTTCTAGAATCTAGAAAATCCTCAGGGAATTTATATATGGACTTTTTGAAAATCGCCGAGCATTTTCTATAAATAATTCCCGACATTACAGTGTATAATTTTGAAGTTTGAACTCCATTTCGAAAGTGATGGGAAGAAAATCACACGTCATTTCTTAGGACGTTTAGATGCCTTCTTTCGAATGGAGCAAGGCTCATTTCGCCATCGGTCCGAGGTGGTAAAAATGACTAGTTAATAACTAGCAGTCATTACTGAACAAAATGCACTAATCAGACCAGCCACCAGTTAAATCTTATCCCGTTCCTATGACATCAGCTAGTCGCATTCAACGTCGGAAGCGCTTCTTTCAAGAGTTTATTTGCAGCGTCGGCAGTAACGACCTCAGTAGAACTTGAACGAAGATCAGAAGAGTGAGAACAATTAAGCATTCAGTGTACTCAGATAACTAATCAAAGGTAAGCTGTCAGATCTCACCTTCGGATGTGAACAGATGAATGCAGTAATGCACATTGTCCTGAAAATGACATATAAAGAGACTATTATAGTTTTCAAATTATAAGAGCAGTGGCTATCTTCTGAATAACATTTGAAGGGAAAGGGCTATCGTGCTGCGGTTTTCAGTTTCTGAAAGGAGACACCCGATGACATGTATTGTCAAGCAGAAACATGTTTCTCGAAATCCTGGAAATCCGATTTTTCAGGGGATCTCTGTTTCATAAAGTTCTGAGTTTCATAAAGTTTGGTTCATTAATTTTTTCTCTGGTATTTGTAATCGCTTAATTGTTTTATTACTTGATTATAAGGTTCCATAAACATTCTCGTCGTCAGGGACGTAGCTAGCATCTCAGAGCAGGGGAGTGGTCCTATCAAAAACATTTTTCGTTCCTCCAAAAAGAACGCTTTTTTAAAGAAGGAAAGGCGACTTTTCTGGAACCAAGGAGTGGTGGTACCACACTCAGTATTTATACATCTGCCCGTCGTTTTGTCTAATAATATGCATGCGTGTAAGAAACTTTTTTCCTGTCTCTCCCATTCTACCATTTGATTCTTGTAAACAATAAACAGTGCTGTTAAGAGCAGAAATTATTATTTACATCTGCATGTATATGAGACGTGATTTGTAAGATACATTTAGCTCTCTATCCGCTGATGAATCTTTGTTAGCTAGCATTTCACTACTTAATTCTACCTTAAGTGGAAAAATAGCGATTGAATGATACTCTTCTCTGTTATTTTCGATTGTTCCAAGGAAAGTCTAGTCGTTAACTGTTCATGATATCTAAATTAACTAACAGGTAACGACGGACCCTGAACAACAGATGAACTATTATCTTAAGATGCCATTGTTAGAAGAAACAAAACTACTTATCACTTGCATGACAACTGAGACAAACAAGTGACGTTTAATGACTCAGAAGAATGGGACTGGTTATGAAACGGTTTGATGCCACAATGACCGATAGAAAACTGTTTTGGACCTCTATCAGTATCTCAGTTGTCACTTAAATAAACCAGCAGAATTGAAAAGTTGGGTCTTCTGTTGCGTGTCTAATTCGTGATGATCAATTGCCGATCCTACATCAGTTTCATCACTAGGAACCTTATCCTCCACTTGTTATCGCATTTGAAAAAGCATTCACCGACACTTCACGGAGTCTTCCGCGTTTCATGCGTTTTCGAAACTCAACTCAAGATTCAATTCAGTTTTCACTGATTATCATGAATCTTTTTGGATTCAAAAATGAGTATAATTCTGAAAAATCCTACGCCACATAAGTAAAACGCTTTACTCATGTATGTAAAAAGTTGGGATCTTATTACGTCATGACGCAAAACAAAATATATAGTTATTTAAGACGATCATCCTCATTTTTAAGTTTTTGTCGTTTTGGATCTTTCCCATTAGACACTTGTGAAAGCTCAGCTTTATTATGAACATAATCTTTAATTCTTCGATGATCATGTGACAATAACATAAGACCTGTTGTAATGGCTTTATCAAAATATTTTAAAGCATCATGATATTTTTCTAGCTTATAACTTATGATACCCATATTATTGTAGACTGCAGATAAATCTGGTGCATCTGACGTTTCATTTAAATAATATGAAGCTTGTTTAAGATATTCAAAGGCGTTCTCGAAATAATTTTGACTATAATGAAGCAAACCTAAATTATTGTAAAGTTTACCGATTGACGAATGATTTGCTACTAATGATGTTGATATAAAATTAATCTCATTATGACAACAGAATGTCGTTTTCATTGCTGTTTGAGGAATAGTCATGGACGTAATAGAAGGAGTAGACGAGTATGCTGAACGTAGTTTTTCTGTACAATCTTGCATAATTTCATCTTGGTTAGGTTTATGTGTTAGTTTTTCCACATTTGTAGAATTCCATCTAATAAAATGTTCATATGCAAAACCATAATACTCTTCAGCTACTTTAAAGTTTTTCTTTTTATGATGAAGTAAGCCAATATTCGCATATATTGCGCTTCTGTCTTCATGATTGTGCGGAAGTTCTTCCAATAGTACATGATAATATCTGTCGGCTTTTTCATATTCATCGATTTCACTTAAAAAATTTCCTAATGTCAGTATTGTTGTTCTGTCTTCAAATTTTTCCTTCAAATATTGTTTTATACGTATACAACATTCATTATTCTCTTCATTAATTAAATCTAATTCTACAAGCCACATGTCACGCTTTTCAGCTTCTTTAATAGATTTAACCAACCATAGCGTACCAGTTGAAAATAAAACTTCATCTTCATCTGGTATTTTCGTTACAGTACTGAGGCAAGCGTATGGTTTGGTTGTTTGATTCTTGTCATTAGCTACATTTAATAAAAATAAAACACGTTCATAATTTGAATTTGTTAATGCACTACCATCTTTATGGTTATACATATTAGCAACATTTGGATTAACACTTGCTGAAACAAATCCATTCATAGATATAATCCCTTGTCCTTCCATACTCTCCTTTAAAATTTGAAATGTGTTTGCTGTCAATAGTTTGCCTCGATGCAAAGGTGAAGATATTGATTGTGTAGGTTTTTTATGTAGTTCGTCTAATTGTTTATGTAATTCTTGAATGAGAAAACGAAATGGAAATAAACAATCAACATCTTGTGTACCTAGTGCTTTATTTGTTAATTTATGACAAAATTTCATTTGTGGATCTGTGTACCATTCAAGAGGTGTTTTTGTTTCATAGTTTGATTCAAATACTGAAATATATTTCTTTTGCATTTCATTATTACTATAATAATTACGACATGCTTTAATCATATCACTTTTTGCTTTTTCATTCAATGATAACCGTAGTATTATTTCAATAAGCAACTGAAATTGAATAAATTCAATAGTTTCTTTATCTAAATTTCTTATTGGACTTGATATTTCACCTTGTTTAAAATATGTAAATGATATTGATGATACTGATGATAATGATCCTTCGTTTTGCTTCGTATTTGCATCAAATGTAAATTGTTTTAATTCTTTAATAAGTAAATTTTGATTTATAAAAATTTGATATTTTATGTTTTCAGAATTTTTGTCAATCCATTGTTGTTGTTCTTGTGAATTTCGACAATAAATGTATATATGACGAATAACAGATTTATCATGAATTAATGGTATGAAATGTTGCCCATTGAAATGTGAAACAATACATACGAAATATGATAATTTCTTAGAATTCTGAGTAAAATAATTTATAGCATCACATGGTTCATCAAATATGGTTAAATTTGTAAAAATGCGTTTCAATTTTAAACAAAATTCATCATCTATTTTAAAAGATGTATTAAGCCAAATAACACCAAAGTCTTGATCACACTTATAATTTTCAAGCAATGTGGTAATATGTTGATCTGTCGTAAGTTTTTTGGTACTAAAAGAAAATGAAAAATGCGCATAGTGAATACACAACTTGAACATTATACATGTGTTACCTTTCAGTTGTTTGTGCATGATCGCTCATGTTATACAAAAAAATGTAGCAATGAATGAATAAATCTGAAAGCAGTCCGAAAATGCAAAGAAATTTATGGTATCGATAATCAGCTCTAATTTTGTAGAATGAAAAAGATAATGCAACAGTTTATGAACAAAACGAAATTCATAAAAGTCATTCGTCGTGGTTTTATTTACCTGTGAATATAGTCAAAGACCAAATAAAAAAAAATAATAAGTACAATTTATAAGAAACGTTATAAACTTTAATAGCTCCTTGTTATAAAACGGATTTAGATTATTATTTCTCAATTTTTTTATGTCTGACTACAAGAGATATATTATGTAAATAATCATCTACTATGGTAGATTGATTATCCGATGAAAGTTGAAGTCCTTCATTTAAAGCTTGTTGGTAAAAATCCAATGCTTTATCATAATGTTCAAGCCTATAATGAACGCAACCAATGTTGTTATAAATATTGGCTATTTGATACACATTTTGATTACTAGATTGAATAAATTTAAGTGCTTGTTGAAATTTTTCTAATGCATTTCTATATCTATTTTTTTCATCCAAACTATTTTGTTCTTCATTTTTCTGCTGTTTATCATGTTCGACTTGTTCATATATTGAACAACCTAAATTATAACAAATAGTGGAAAAAGTTGAGTTATTTTCAATTGCTTGTTTTAATATAACATTATTTGTTTTCGTTGTTGTATTGAATTCAGGTGATGGTGTTGAAGATTGAATTAATTCTAATGCTCTTGTAAAATAGTCATTAGACATATCAAATTTTTTTTGTTGCTCATAAATTAATGCTAGATTATTAAAAACAGTTATTTTTTGATTATTTGTTAATGATGATGTTTCTAATAGTTTATTATAATAGCCCAATGCTTTTTCACATTTATTCACTTTTGCCCAAAACATACCACATGTCCAAAGTGTTAGTTTATCGCCAAAATCATTTTTAAATAAATCTAATAGTACTTTTGAATCATTTATTTCTTTATCAGTTAATTGTAATTTAATATACCATATTTGACTTGATAATTGTTCAATCGATTCTAATCGAAATATTGTACCAATTTGAAATAAATATTTAGTTTCATTATCGTTGCGAGATGAAAGATAATTAGTAATACTAGCGAATGGTTTATGATGATCATAGATGTCAATTAGAATTTCAAATAAAATAGATTCATTAGCTGAATTATTATCATCATTATTCTTAATATTTGTACGTGCACTATTACTTGAACTTGTAACGGACATAAATGTGGTTGTACATAATAGTTTACCAATATTACTTTTTAAATGTTCTAATTCTTCAATTTGTATTTGTTGTCCTTTATATAAATTATATCGATTATTAGTATGAACAGATGAATCGTGAATTTGTTTATAAATATCAGCAATAATGTATCGATACGGGTAAATAATGGTGATGTTATTTGATCGGAATGCAAGAGCTACTGAAGAATGAATAAACGTGGAGTTTTCCTGTATATACCATTGTATTGCTTGAGACGATGTATATTCATCTTGAAATCGATTAATAGCTTCTTCATGTTCATTATTTTCTGATGTTGCTGTTGTTGATCAATATAGTTTTAACTCATCATTATCATCATTATTTTTTTTTGGTAAATGTTGAATCGATTCAACTAAAAATTGAAACCAAATAAATTGTTGATCTTCTTCTTCACTGAACGTTGTTAATGATAAATTTTTTATCTTATCGAATTTATTAAATATAATTGTATTTGGTTCAAAAATTTTACAAGAATGAGAAGTCGAATGTTTATTGATAGATAATGATAACGTATTCATATCTTGTATTAATTTAGAACAAAGCTCAGTTGGATTTCTGACTATGTCAGATACTTTTGGATAATTTCTATACCACTGTTCATCATCATTATCGTCACTTTTGGACTGAAATAAATAAATTGCAATAATTTGTTTAAGATTATGAATCAGTGGTAATAAGTTTTTAACATCAAATGTATCGAATATAATAAAAATAATCTTTTTCTGTTTTTTCGTTGTCAACGATGAAATACATTTTAACGGTTCACTATATGTTTCATTTGGTAGATTGAATGGTGTGGTATTTGTTGATATATGTATATCATCTGGCAAAAGAAAAACAATTTCAAAATGATTGTTTATTAATATCAATATTGTTTCTGTTGCTGCTGCTTTTGTTGTTGTTGCACCTGTTGTACTTGTTCTAGCATGAGAACCGTCACTTGAAAAACTATCGTGTGTTTCAGATACCGAATTACATTTCCTGTTAAACAATGTAGAATCGACAGATTCCTCTGAGGGATCTTGAAAATAAGAATAAACAAACAGTAATTTTACGATTCTAAACGCAAACACTTTTAATCATTCTTAGTTTGTTGCCAGATTTATTTCAAAATACTTCATTGAGTTGTGTCAAAACAGTTCGCTAGGTCAGAATTTTATATCTAATTTTTGTGCAGTCAAAAATTTGAGGATTTTCATAATTTCCAAGATCAATCTTTCCAAAAATCGATTTCGAACGATTTGTTTCTATAGCACTTCTTTCGAAAGCTATAATTTATTTTTATTATTCCATTGACTGTAAGTCTGTGGTCATACGAAAAAAATTCGGTCATACAAAAAACTCAAAGTGTTTGTGCGTGTGTGTGTGTTTGTCCGTACACGGGTGTGACGGACGTAAGCACACACGGTGACGGACGTACATACATATAGTGACCAGTGAGTGTGACGGACGTACATACATATAGTCACGTGGCAGTGTGACGGACGTACATACATATAGTCATGTGGCAGTGTGACAGACGTACATACACAGAATCACTACTAATGAGTGTCATTGACATTGGTGCACAGAGGTGCTTGCGTTCGAGCTTTATGTGGAATCAGGGAAGTGTAACACCTATCCTGGCTGCGAGCGCGGACCGAAGGGACGCGTGAGCATTGTCTGTAATTTAGAAACTTTTTTTAGACCCCTGGGGTTCTTTGGGTACTCTCAAGAAACCTAGTATAGATTGAAGGTACTTTACGAAGTTGACACATCAAGTCAGAGAAATAATTATAACGCATGGTAGATAGTCTCTAGCGAACACCGACCGAAGGGAGGTGTAAGCGTTGTTTTGACGAAGAAGGCTAAACTTTGCCCCCACTTAGGTTTCTTTATCAAAGGTAAGAAGACTCATAGATCTGGTAATATTACGTCTATTTCGAACATCTGTACGACAGATAAAACTAAATCAAATTACAGAGTCTCGATGAACTATAGCAATTCTGATAAATGTTTCTCATCGGTGAAAAGCTAAAGCAAGTGGTTCTGTAAACTAAGATGGAAAATATAGACGTTCTCATCGCAAAAAATATGCATCAATTCTGTAGTAGCAAGGTCGAGTTACAACAGCATAAATAATAATTCCGAGAGTACACTCAGTGGACTTACAGGCAATGGACCTAGTGAATGCATTCGATTCACGTTATTTATTATACACCTTTATGCTTTTCTGACTTTTATTCTATTGACTGTAAGTCTATAGTCATATAAATTAAAGTGTTTGTGTGTGTGTGTTTGTCCGTACAGAGGTGTGGCGGACGTACATACATATAGTCATGTGGCAGTGTGACGGACGTACATACTTTGAGAGTCACATAACTCGTGAACTGATGCTGACTTGATAGCCTTGACTTCTATTTCATACTTGGCTTCGAAACACGTACTCACTCTGGTCAACATTACTGACTGGTAGACTTTCACACACTAGATCGGTCGCATCAAGTCTAATCGAACAGTATGGATCAACACCTGAAACTCTAAAGGTTACTTGTAAAACTAGAAATTTGTATACCAAGAATTAAACTTACGAGAAAAAATAGAGGTACCTAGGGTTTGGCAATCGTTTGAGTCAGATGAAAAGAATGATTGAGAAGTAAAATTATTGTCGGAATATGGGTGGAAACGTTGTTCTTCGTATTCTGTGTCTTCATCATCTGTTTGAAAATCTCTATCAGAATTTGTAATTGGTTGTGTATAACTTTTTAACAGATATTGAAGTTTTAGAATGACTGGTGTTTGAGAAGATGACGATAATGCAGCTAAATTTCTGAATACATCCCATGATTCAGATTCCCAATCGATCCAATCCTGTATTGTATCGTGGTAATATTGTATTATATATGAGTTAGGACTTTTACATCGTGATAGTTTATGAAAATTTTCAATTGTTTGTGCGAAGGTTAAACTTGAATCAATAGAACGCATTTTATTATGTGCACCAAATTTTAATGTATACTCAATGCGCATTTTTGATGTTTCATCTATCTGAATAAGAAGAAAACTTAGTTAGAAGAGTCTCTCTCTATCTAAGGCTGTGTTCAACGCCACACTGTTGCAGTGACTCCCAGGTCAGTTGGTATGTTTTAGTGGAAGTTGCTTTAAAGGTCCGCTCAGATTCAGCGATCATGAAAATATAGCCTTTTTCATTCTTATGATCTGTCTCTGTGATGTCCCTTGACAGGTCATAGTCCTTTTCTACTTTTTTTTTGTTACGCACATATTTATTTCTTTTCTTTGTTATATGTATTGATATCATCGTCCATTTCTTTATTTCTATTATTATCATTCCTGACTATATTCGTCTGCAGATCATTTAGTTTACGTCAATTTTACTATTTTTCTTTTATGATGTTCGAGACAGTTCTGTCATGGTATATATGTGACTATTTTTCTTCATTTTTGCAGTAGTTGTTATTGTCAGTTTTAGTCGTTACAGTGTGCGTCGAGCGCGTGTTTTCATATACTCGTTTTTTTTCCATATTAGTTTTAATAAACATATCGATTGAAATAGTTTGTCACAGCCGTGTAGATCACACGGAAGATAGGTAGAAGACCCCCTCATTTTAGGGAGAGTTTCTGATACCGGATCAAGCGGCCCATGACAATCTCTACCTAATAATAGTAGACACTACTTCTACCTAGGTCAAGAGCCGAAAAAAACCTAAAAATTCATAACAAGGAAGAGCCGAACTCGTGAACAAGGTTGGGAATGCTGGAGCAGGTTAAAGAATTGTGAGTTCAGTAACTAGTAAAAACAGACGAAATCACTACACCAGAGCCCTACAGGTTATCACTTTCTGCCAAACCACAAAAAATTTCACAACTTAGTCCTAAGCTAACATATCCTCTTCAACCCACAGAACATTACACGCGTATTTAACAAAAGTAAACATACATGTCCATGAAATACAGTAAACATTTCTGATCAAAACGAGATATCTCCCAGCTCTGAATGATGCTCTGATCAAGATTTATGAGACTTTTGCTGGAAGCCTTGAAACGTGCATCACATACACTCTAAAAAATAGTCGTAGATTAATAAACTATCAAAAAGGGTTTATTGAGACTAATAAAACGCTTTTCCGTTTTTTCTTTCCAAGAAGCTGACACATAGAAGCCAATAGAGTCCGATTTTTGATGCTCGATCTAGATTTGTGGTTAGAAAAACATCTATGTGCAAGCTGATGAGATGTATTTGAATTTCGGACTGTTGACGCTGACCACTGCTTTCAACAGTAAAATATCGAAAGCTCGGCTCTATTAGCCTCCAGCCACATCTGTTTTCATCAGCTTAACACTGTCGCAAGCCCTCCACAACGTTTCATTACTGAGAAATCTTCCAGCTCCGAATAGCTCTGTTTTGCTCACTGCTGTGGTGACATCCCACAAAACCGAGGGCTGGGCGGATATCCAATTTCAGAATATCCGAAAAACATGTTCTAAAAAGTACATTACACGACGCACCTTTCCAGCGTTTCTGCTCTTCTGCCTTTAATGCTTTTGCAACTTTTAATCTTTTATAGCTTTTCTCGCTTTTCACATCGGTAGGTCCGTTCGGGTTTCCTGTGGAATCAGAGACATGTAACACCTGTCCTGGCTGCGACCGCGGACCCGTGAGCTTAGCCTGGAATTCGAAATATTGTTAGATCTCTGGGGTTCCTTGGGGGTCAGATAAAACCAAATCAGACTAAAGAGACTCGATGAATTACACAAATTGAGTAAATAGCGCTATGACGGTTTCAACTTTTGACAGTCACATAACTCGTGAACTGATGCTGACTTGATAGACTTGGCTGCTATTGCATACTTCGCTTCGAAACACGTATTCACTCACGTAAAGTTTTCTGGCCGGTGAAAAGCTAAAGCAACTGCTTCTGTA